CCCCCCCCACTCCTCCCTAACTCGTTCCCAGTTAACCCTGATTTCTAAATGTTGGTCTTGCCAGTGTTTTTCTTTGCTCATTACCTCAGTGCAAATGCTTCATTGAAAAGTGAATGTATAGTTCAATTTAGAGGAAAAAACGGCAGTTGTGTTTTACTTTTTATTTTCTAGAAATCGAGAAGCTCCTCTTATGTTCCTTACAAAGTGGGTAGGAGTTCTGTGACTTTTCTTGACTGCTCTGTGCTTCGTTTAATCGGCCGATATATTGCAGATGTGAATAAACTGGTGTTTGAATCTGACTTTCACCTTGTTTTTCTTCAAAAACCGTAAAATCATCTCTTTTCTAGTGAACATTTTAGCCCAAACTTGTGAGTACATGGCTACTTTAGTCTAGAAATGTATGCTGAAAAAAACTTTTCAGGCTCAAAGTTCAAAACAAACTTTTATTGAAAACAAAAGTGAAATACAGTACATGACCCAGACTAAACATCACCACACAGAGGACATGATCAGTTCCCTTGCTTTGAGAGCTGTAAACCTTTAATGCTGCAAAGAGTCTGGGGTCTGCTCAGTTCACACTTTAAAGACCCAGAGGCACCTCCCTGACCAAGATGGACACCACTTCAGTGAAACTCATGCACCCTCCTTTTTGGCCACTGTGGAACTTGCTTAAAAAGGTATACATGGTTTCAAAGTGACATGTGCATAGATCTGTCGCCAAGGAATTCTTTATACAGGGTCAAAGATCATGATTCACACACATACAGTCCTCCAGACACTCACAACAGCATGGTTAAGGCTGAGGATCAAGTATTTGTAACTTGTATGATGGCCAAAATATTGAGTTAAGATCATCTTGGTGCTATTGAACCACTCCAGTCCAGGCAGCTCAAGTAACAACCCATAAATGTGTGGCACCTATCTGACGGTGGCTTATTCTGATCCCTTTGTTTAAAAAGTACAAAATGTTTTAAAGAGGAATATGCGCCAAAATGGCTGCAGAAAACTAACGAGGTGTTGATATGAGGGTGCAGTGGCTCAGTCACACACACGCTAGCAGAGCACCAGTCGTCCATTAATACAAAACAGGTCTTAGGTGCCAACTTGCATTGAGCAAACCTGCAGGGGAAAAAAACAAAAAGGCTATAAAAAGCAAGAATTAAATGAATAAAATTAAATAAAAATCACAACGCAAATACGAAACATAGCGTTTAAATTGAAAATACTGTTGTTAAAACTTTGTACCTGCATTTGAAATAATGACGTTTCAGCCATTCGATGCTAAATTAAACAAATAGCTGACATACTTTCCGTTTGCGCCAGAGGATCAGTTTGTTTTTTATAAAGGAAAAAGTTTGCATGCCGACACTCTTGAATCTACACCACGTGGCTCAATAACATACAAGTACAGGCTCAAAGTTAATAAGAAGGGAGATTCCTATTTGACCACGTTGTCTCAAGAACGGCACCATTTAGTTCTAGCGTGAGAACAACCACTGACAATGTAGCTTATGAAACTGAAATCATGTGTAACAGATATCAAATCGCTGTGCTAAAAGTGAGAACTGAAAAAAACAATTATGACAACATTATTCTAGAAAAAAATAATAACTCCAAACACATTTGAGTGTCCCATTCAAACTCATCTTACAATACTGTTTGTAAATCCCTCAAATTTTCACCTGAACATGAACAAACTTTAATATAGAAGCAAAAATAATAACAAGCTGCGCCATGTTTTCCCAAAGCTGGGCACCAACGTGATGTTTATGGCATACTCTTGACATGATATGGTGTAATGTAACATGATATGTATGTAGTGTAAATGAGTGCCCAGTGCAGCCCTGCTCTGCACTCGGACAAACTCTTAACATGAGTCCTGCTGAAATGATTTTCCTTCTCCTCCTTTTTCCTCCTCGTTCCACAACCAGGTCAGTTCATTAGTTCTGGTTTCCGCCTCCGCTGTTAACAATTAAGCCGTGGAAAGGTTCAACGCTCCCGTCCTGTGCCGTCTCCAGAGGTCAAAGTCAATTAAAATTCATCATTTTAAAAAAATAAAAAGGTAACAATAAGCCGGTAAGGACAAGCTGTTGTGCCACCGTGTGGGTGGTGCAGGTAGTCAGGCCGTCGACGGCGGAGGGAGGGGCTATCTGAGTCCAGCCCTCGAGGTCATCCACTCAAGTCCTTGACATAAACTGGAGGAACAATGAAGAGGAAAAATGTTAATAATTTATAGAAACAGGCTCACAAATTGCTTTTGAGGTCACTGCTGTTATTATTGTCACTTTAATGTTTAAGTACTACGAGAAAGTGTAATATCCTCAAAATATTTCCATTACTAACATTAACACTATAAAAACAACAAAGCAAACAGCTTCGTTTTGTATTATATTTGTTATTTGCAACCAAACAAACACTCTCTTCTTATGAACTGCACACATTTATAGGCACCTTTACCTTTATTTTACACAAACTAAAAACGCTTCTAAAAGTAGAATTGTGTTTTTGTGCGGACTTTAGACAGACAGATTTCAAACGCTCTTCAATGACTTCCATTGTTTTAATACGTGGCCGTTTTTCCCGAACTGGAAGAAATATTCAGAATATTCTCGTGGTGGGCAGAATGAAGCTTTATGAGTCTTTCTGTTTGTTTCCTGTGGTTTTAAACTCACACAGTGACATCTGGTGGTTTACAGAGCTCACAGCAGCCCTTTAAGACTGGGCTCAACTTCCAGTTTCACCACAAATAAAAGTGTTTTTTTATTAAATCTATTATATGTTTTTGTTCTGAAGTGGAGCAGTAAATACACACATTATTGTGCAATATGCTACAGTAAACAAACAAATAAAAGCCTCATCCACAATGTGGTTAACATGAAATATTAATGTACCCTGATGGTGTGGTGTAGTCGGTGTCCATTCAACATATTATATGAACCACAGTGTAATGTGATCATATTCATTGTATCTCACATTGCTTAGTAACCAGCTTCAGTGCCTCGATATATTTTATTAACTATAACATATGAGATACATACAGGGTTCCCTCCGACACCCAATATTTTCCAGGACAGTACTTGCTCACAACCGGTCACATAATTTAACAGTCGGCCTAGTGACACATTTAACTCCAATCTGAGTCAGTTATAACACGCACCCAGGTTTATGTATAATAAATAGATATAACCTGAGTGAGGAGGTAAAATACAATTCACATTTTCCAGGTCAACATAAAATATTTCCAGGATATTTGGTCATTTTAATCCATTTCCTGCCTCTAAATTTCCACGTTTTCCAGTATGGATGGGAACCCTGAACAAATTCAAGATGTCACAAAAGCAGCAACTTCTGAATCTGTATCACTGATTATGACCCTAAGTCTGTTATTAACATCTCTTATATTGCTGTATGTCATCCCTCCCCCCCCTCCCTCTCTTTCCCCACCTTCCTGTCATTCTTCGGCTGCTTCTATCTAATAACGGCAACAACAACATATATTTCTCTTACCCCTCTCCTGTAAGTGCACAGCAGGACTGTATGTGCCAGGGGTGGTCTTTGATGGAGCTCAGGGTGAGGTATTTGGAGATCTCCGCTGCAGACATACAGTCCTTCATATCCTGCTTATTGGCAAATATCAACACAGCTGCTTTCCGTAGGTCCTGAGGGGAGAGCGGAGAGAACAATGAAACCATAAACAATGTAGAAGGGTGGAAAGTGCCAACTTTGGTGGAAACAAATCAACGTCCACTATAAAAACAGAGTCAGTTCTGTGTAGTTGTTTCCTTCAAGAACAAAAAGAGGTGTAAAGGCGTTACCTCGTGAGCCAGCATCCTGTAGAGCTCCTCTTTAGAGATGACCAGCCTCTCTCTGTCTGTGCTGTCCACCACCAGAATGATGAACTGCGGAGTAGGAGGCAAAAAAAAAAAGAATAAAAAAATCCCACTGAGTGACCTCTTTTCAAACATTTTACAGCAATGAAATGCGACACAGCGGGGTGGGCATTTCCGGGCCAAGGGCCTCACAAAAGAGTACTGGTGACTGCTATGCTAATAGCCCCTTTGTGAAAGAGAGAGAGTGACCCTGTGTGACAAAAGGCTAAAAGGCACGTTCGTTGTGGGGAGATGTGCGAGACGCCGTTTAAACCAAACGACCAGGAAAAGGCAGCGTTTGAACAACACGCGTCGACCGACATGACTGTGACCCAAATCACTGCCAGAGAACTACATGAGCCTGAAACCGCTTCAGTGGCAAAGAGTGGAGTTACTATAGTAACAGCCTATAGGGTTACTATGATATATGGTTCCTATAGTAACGTAGGGATTAACTCTATTGTAATAGGCATTTAGAGGTTTCTGGAGTTGAGTGTATGAGTGAACACTATTCTAATACGTTTATTAATTATTAAGCAGCTGAGACTGACGGTTGCAACTGAAACTAGTGGGGCTGCAACAAATCATTTTCTCAATTAATCGTTCAGTTTATAAACTTTTCAAAAGAGGACAGTTAAAAAATGCCATTTACAATGTTCATTTGCTTGTTTTGTCCAGAATAAAACCTAAAAGATGTTCAATGTGACAAAGAACAGCAGCAAATCCTCATGTGAGAAGCTGAAACCAGTTAATGTTCATCATTTTAGCTTGAAAAAAAGTCTAATACATTTTCTGTCAATCGACTAATCGTTAAAAAACAGTAAAACACATTTTTTAAATGTGTTAAGCAGTCATAAACCAAAAGATATCCAGTTTACTGTCACATACGACACAGAAATGCAGTAAATCCTCACAACTAAGAGCCTGGAACTGGAGAATAATGTGTGTTTTTCCCTTTAAAAATAACTAAAAATGAAATAGCTGCTGAACAATACTTTTTGTTCCAGGCGCAGATGAAACATAGCGGTGCTCTTTAGCAGAGGCGTGTGAGAGAGCGAGAGTCGAGGAGTCGGGTCATGTGTGAATGGATGTGGCCCTGCATTTACTTGTGACCTGTTGTGTGGTATGAATGCACAAATGCGGGTTAAACCCACGCTGAATACCACATGTCAGGGTTCTGCGTGTGAAAGACGAATGAATGTTGTTGTGAAACTACAGAAGGAAAAAGAAAAAAAAAAAAGTGCCTGGCAGATGTCTCTTCGGGAAAAAGTTAATTCACGTGTTTTCTCTCTTTAAAAAGATCTCCCACACATCTGCCTCTGCCACGACTCTTCTCCTCTTCTTCTTTTTCCAAAAGAACCGCTGCGGAGGCTGACCCTCGCTTTGCTTTTCAGACGGGGCCCCTTTGTGAAAGGCTGACCTCTGACTCTGGGCGGCCCCTGCTGCCGTCTGTGCTCTGAACAAACACACCAGCTGCCAGAAAACCCGCCGCTGCTGCTGGACAATACCTCATCAAAAAGAGTGAACAGAGTGTGTTGCTCACCTCTGTGTTGGAGTAGTAGGTGTTCCAGGAGGACCGGAGCGACTCCTGCCCGCCTATGTCCCACATCAGAAAGTGGGTGTTCTTCACCACTATTTCTTCCACGTTGCTTCCGATGGTGGGCGACGTGTGGACCACCTCATTCATCAGACTTAACAAAAACAGACATCATAACGTGAGCTGAGACGCGGCGAAGGAGAAGAAGGTTCAATGTGAGATAAAAAAAGCACTTACAATTGGTAGAGGATAGTGGTTTTCCCTGCGTTGTCTAGTCCAACGATAATCACCTTGTGCTCTGGAAAACAAACACAGTAAATGAACGGTTTGACTTCCCAGAGGTCTTCAAGAAGTCACTGTTGTGGAGAGAATACTCTCAGTCGCTGTATCATAAAGTACATATATATGGTTTCAGTCTATACAATGCATTCCTGTCATTCATTGCTGCCCTCAGAATCATAAAGTCTTCCTTCCTGACCTAACTTTTCCAAGTTAACTTCTTTCCATTCGTAAACACCAGCCAGCACAGGCGAGGCTTTGATGGCTGTCAGGCGGTCAAACATAACGGCCTAAATGCAGAATTAGGGCTGACACCGACGTGCCAAAATATCCCACTTCAGTGTTTTGACTTTTTCTGCCCTTTTGAGGCCTCTGGCTGCCGAGGAGGAAGGAAGTCTGGTCAGAGGGCTCGCAAGTTCGGACAACCTCTGCGCGGCACGCTGGCTTTTGGAGGACGCTGCTTCTCTATTGCTTCCTAAAAGAGGAGCTTCCCCCGCGACGATCCCGACAGCAACACTGAGCCGATCGTCGCCCGTTCACCACCACAATACGTGCATTTTAGGTGATGTGGTAAATAGGACATGAATGTCTAAGGCTCCAGGATAAAGTCTAATGTCTGTTGCACAGTGAAAAACATGTTACTCCAGCTCTAACACATTCCTTTGAAATGTACAGTAAGAAATAATGATGTATTCCAGGGGATTCACTAATAATAGTTATCTGAGCAGAAAAACAATAATGGGTTTCTTTAGATTTCAATAATCACCAGAGGAAAAATAAGCAGCTATCTTTTCACATCGACGTTGTGATCTTCCACCACAGAATAGTTGACTTTCTAAAGTACAGCAAGATACTGCATCGCTTAGAAAGATGGATACTTTATTTATCCCGAGGGAAATTCAAGTTTAGCTTAAGAGCTTGTTTTTCTGCCTCAGAATCAAAGCAACACGAACAACATCAACACATTTAAAAGGGTGCAATCACACGACTGTGACTGCCAGTACTTTGGGTCTAGTTGTTTTTCAGGTAATCTAATTACAGTGTTGATGACATGCAATTAGCTCCCCCCTCTCTGTTGTGAACTACTCCACTCAGAGCTCGCCTGTAATCTCTTAAAAGTGAGTGAAACTTGACACTGAGAGCGTAATGTGGAAGTGGGGAAAGAAAGCAGCCGTCTTTCTCAGCTCAGCTCGGGGGGTGGGGGGGCAACAAAGCCACACAGACC